ACAGCTGAACATCTTGTCTCTGCTAGTTTGCTAGGCAAAAATTCAGTTAGTACAGAGCATGAATCACTTCTCTGTCTCCAGCATCACAACTGCATCCCCTGAGGACAAATGCAATGGAAGGGAGACGGGAAATCAAAGTGGATTAGACTGCAGTGCTATGCCTAACCTAACCAAGGAGATTCCAGACCTTTAGCTTCAAACCTTGCCACTAGAGCTTTAACCCTGACAAGCATTTTAAAGGTTCATCCAGAATAGTTACTACTGTAGCAGACTCCCTGACAGCAAAAGAATCATTTCCAGAGGATACAGATGTCAGACTGAATTAAATGCTACAGGAAACACAAGTAACAACATTTCTAACAACATATGTCATGATTCATTATTTTTTTTGTTGCTCCCCTCTCCCAGCCAGTGTTGTTGCTCAGCTCTTAAAATGTGTTCCATTTCAGCTGCTGTAACAAGCACTAGCAGATCCCAACAAGTGAAATACAGACGTTAAGCTAGGCAGTCGTTCTCAAAGCCCTCACATCCACATGCAATTATAAACTCCTATCTGGTTTTGTATCTGTAAGACAGCGGGATCTCTAGGATCTCAATGTCTCTACTGCTCAGCTTTTCCATTAAAAACCATCTGTGTTGATGGCTGAAGAAAAGCAGGGCCATTCCGGTATGTAAAAAGCCACAGCAGGCAGTCTAATCTCAGCTGTTCTAGGAGAGGTTCTTTCATCCAGCAGGAAGTCCAGCAAGAGTTGGCAAACGCACTGAAACAGTGTAAAAATAAAGTTATTTGGATCTATCTTTATGTTTGCATCACAAAGCAACCTGAGGAGCTCACCTATCAAGGCCAGGGAAACGGAGACAGCACTTCTGCCACGACAAGGTTCATTCCCATCTGGCCCAAAAGCAACAAATTAGCTTTGTCAGAGGAAAAACTATTAAATTCAGGATCCTTGTGTAGCGTCTAATGAAACATTCTCATCATATTCGCAGAGTACCCCAATACTGATCTCACGCCACATAGGATGAGCCATGACAAGAAACAGATGTCAGTCATCCAACAGGACAGAATAACCATTTTGACATGGCTTTTCCACTTGGGATACTCCTCTGGCATGGGACATTCCTCTTCATAAATGCTCTGCTGCCAGAAGACCAGGCAGATACTGAGGTACACTGGGAGTGAGCTGGGGATACAGAAATACAGGTAAACCTTGATTTTATAAAGGTCTTGGGAATCAGATGAAACTTTTGTATTAAAAAAAAAAATCACTATTTCAAATAAATGCATATCAGGTTCTATGCAAAATCTAGAAGCACAGATCAGAAAAGTGTTGAATAACCAGTGTTTAGAAAAATCATAGTTAACCTTCAGTCACCTTGGCATATTTCAGAGACTACACCATAAAGTGGAATGGGATCATGCATTCTGTGATGGAGTTAAAGAGTCTCCATCACAGTGCCCTGAGATTTCCAACTACCAAAAGATTTGGAAAGATCAAGTAAGAACAGGAAAAGAGACAGCATCTTGCTGGGTGCTGATAAGTACTTGCTTAGAAACAAATGCTGAATAATTTGGTCCTATAACCACCTTTCTGGACCTTGCTAGTTTGTGCTTGAGACCCTGATGTTCACATATTGTGTCCTCCCATTTAGAACTTATAATATCCTCAAGAAAATGAAACTCAGGTGATACGGATGTTCCAAGTTTGGCACAAACTTTTGTTGTTGATGGCATGAATTACCATCTTCTGATGCTTTGCTATCTGCACTAACATACAAGTATTAGCGCCATTACCAGTCTAGTAATGTTCACTCTCTGTGGGGAAGAAGAGGCTCTCAAGGGAATACTTATACTACATATTTGATGAAAGGACCCCATTAGTCTGGGCAGAGTGAGGCCATTTAGTGAAACACAGCACTTTAGTTGGAATAAAGGCTTTCAAATCTGAAATAAATAGGCTTCACTGTTTTCTACAGGCTCTGGATCACACTGGAGACACTGGTCTCGAGTGATGATTGCACTCAATCCCCTTTAGGACCTGTTAGATTGCAAAGCTAGTCCCGGTTCCAAATTTAGGGCTTTAAGTATTTTTTCTAGGTAGCTTCCAATAGAACAGGAGTCCTTACTCAAAACCTCATAAACCCAACACTGAGCCTTACTCTATGTCTCTACCATCAGGACATTAACCCATACTCTGGTTGTCTCCCACCTCAGCAACCACTACTGCCTTTTCTGTGGTCTCACCCTCTACCCCATCCTTTCACAGGCAGTTTTTGACAACTGGTAGGCTGCTTGTGTGCTGAAACCACAGCCTACCATACTGATCCATATTGTCCATTATTTCCTTGCACTCCCCCCTCGGTCTGTCTATCCATCTCGTGTCTTGTCCTATACTTAGCTCTCAGAGGCAGAGACCGTCTTTTTGTTCTGTGTTTGTACAGCACCTAGCACACTGGGGCCCTGGTTCACGACTGGTGCTCTTAGGCACAACAATAATACAAATAATACTGTTGGCCAGATCCCCTCCTCTTCTACTGCTCTGACCAGCAATCCCAATCCCGTGCCTGCGCTACCTCCATTCCTTCCTCAAATCTCTGCCTTCGCTTTACCTCTTATTCCCCACAGAGGGCCAGATTCTTTGTTGCCCTGCCCCTTGTGCAGTCGTTTACACCAGTGAATGCAAGTGGGTATAAAATGCTACTAGATCAAAATGGTAGCAGTTTGCACTGGTGCAAATGACTCCACGAAGAGCAGAGCAATAGGGAAGCTTCCTCAAAGGTCCTACTTTACATCAACAACAAGGAGTCTGGTGGCACCTTAAAGACTAACAGATTTATTTGGGCATAAGCTTTCATGGGTAAAAACCTCACTTCTTTGGATCCGAAGAAGCGAGGTTTTTACCCACGAAAGCTTATGCCCAAATAAATCTGTTAGTCTTTAAGGTGCCACCAGACTCCTTGTTGTTTTTGTAGATACAGACTAACACGGCTACCCCCGATACTTTACATCAGTTGCAGCACTCTCCCCCTGTTTCTGCTCTGCTCTCCTGCTACATAATCCCTTTGGGCTGGCCAAGCATCTCTCCCAACCAATCCCTCTGTTACTTTCTGCTGCTTCCGAGTCTGAGCCTTCTTGCATGCCACCCCGACCCACTTATGCCTAAAGCAGCCTCCCAATTAGCATCCAGGTCTCCTTCCTCTTCTCTTCCAGAAAACCTTCTGAAAAACCTGCCTGTTCCAAGAAGCATTACAGCTACAAAGACCACATGCCACTCTGTGCTGGTTGCTCATGACTTTAGGCTGAAAGGCAGGGACGCTGTAATTTGCATTGGAACATTGTTCCTTATGTATATTAACATACATAATTACAGAGCTACTCAGATTATAACAATCTGCTAGCATATTGGCATTGCCTATATGGGGGTGCAATGCTATTTAAGCCAACACAAGACCCTCTAGTCTATACAGAACAAAGTGCATGCTGTGCACACACAAAAAAAAGCCCCCTACAAGGATAACTAGAGTGGAGTTTTCTTTTAGAATATTAGTGAATTGCACAAATCTCAAGGTATAAGACATTTCAAAGCAAAAGACATATAATAAATCCTGCTGCATAGTGGAACAGCTACTGAAATAAGTCCTTCAAAGCAACGGGGAAGATTCAGCATCAGAAGCATCACTGATTCCATTAAACAGGCCATTGTATGAAAGCTAGGAGCCTTGAAGGTTAAGGGACATTTAATGCCTATCTGGAATTGCTCTGGAAACCAATGTAATGATACAGGTGAAATGTGAGAGGGCACCTTGGTGTGCATTACCAGTGAGGCATATGCATTTGGAGTTAATTGCAAGATGGGAATCTCTCCTTTTAAAGGACATTACGCTCATCTTTACAAGACCTATAGACACATATTTTCACCCTGGCTGACATTATTTTACCCACCACTGTAGCATCTGTTCAGCTACAATTTTTGAAACATCCCACTGTAGATAAAACTCCTGGAAACTTGAAATCTTTGACCAATAAGATCTGCCTGAGCTAGTCCTATGTAGGATAGACCAAGGGTTAATCTTAGCTTCCTTCACTTGACTCCCCTAACTTGAGCAAACCTCTCCCAATGAAGGGGCCAGGGGGCTGCCTTCTTTTTCTCATTGCTCTGACACACTGCAACAACTGTGGACTCCAGTTGCTGCGCTTGTGTCTGTCTGTCAAAAATCATCTCTTCTCCCAAACTTGTGCCTCTCACATCTGAGCTACAGTTTCAGACTTTCAGCTTCTGCCCCATCTCAGAGCATGCTTAAAAATACCAGAAGGTAGATGATTCGCTCTCTGTGTGACGGAACAATACTTCTATATATCTGGGCCTCACTGCTTCTTCCCCTGCCCCTCCCTTTGCTTCATCTGTCTGTTTATTGCAGGTCTAATTTAGATCAGGCTCTTCCGGGCAAAGGCATGGTGCCATCTCAGTGCATATGAATAACAGCAGCTGGTTATCAGCAGCCACTGCAGGTAGAGAAGGCACCTAGATGGATGGACAGACAGACTGGGGAGGGGACAGCATTTGGGGCTGGATTCCCAAACTGGTCATGTCCGTGTCTTGCCTTCTCTGCCCACTGGTATCTCATCCCCCTGGCTCTCAGGGGAACTGGGTATCTTGGTATTGCATGGCCCAGAGCTTCCCCCCCCAATGCCCCCACCAGCCCCCCAATCCCCTACTCCTCATCCCCCCCAGCCCCCACTCCTAATCCCCCCAGCATCCCCCCACCCCCTCAATGCCCCCCCTCCTACCCCCCCCCAGAACCCCCCCACCCCCCCCCCCCCCAATGCCCCCTCCAACCCCCCCAAGCCCCCACTGCTCAACACCATCTCCCCTTGTCCCCCACCCCTACAACATCCCCACCCCTCCCCCAGCCCCCTCAACGCCCCGCCCCCTCCACCAGCCCCACTCACTCATCCCCCCTCCCCGGCGCCCCGCCCTTCCCGGTCCCACCTACGGCACCTGGCTGCGCTCGAAGCCCTCGCGCTCCGCCTCCAGGCCGCCGCCGCCGCCAGCCCCGCGCCGGCTCAGCACCTTGGGCAGCGGGTTGGGCACCTGCTTCATGGAGCTGCTCACCCGGTCCATCCCGGCTCGCCCCGGCCCGCCAGCCGCGCGCCCCGCAGCCGCTACCCGCCACCCGCCGCTAGCGGGACCCACGCCCGCGGCATTGGGCCCCGCCCCTGCCGCTCACACGGCAGCCACGCCCCCCCGGGAGCCGCCTCCCGCCCCGCGGCCCTGCCGCCTCTCATTGGCCAGAGCGAATGCTACTCGAACTGAACTCCCAGTGGGACCCGTCCGGAGCCTCACGGTCCCGCCCCTTACCGAGCCTACTCCATTCTCACAGGTCTAGGCAGCTGCTACTCCAAAGAGAACTGCCCCCCCAAGACCCGCCTCTTTCTCCCGCCTCCTCCTCGCTCATTGGCCCTTTGCACCTTCGACCCGCCCCCAGCTTTACAGCCCTTCCTCTTACCCCGCCTACTCTTCACTCATTGGCCTCGGCCCCTGCTGCTTACCTCCAGATCCTGCCCCCTAGACCCACCTTCTGCCAATCAACCCCCCCACCCCCTTGTTTTTCTTGCCCGGTTACCTAAATCAGGGCCCCTCAGTCAAAGAAGGCCATCTCATTGGCTGCTGGGCGTGTCCACCATGTACAGCCAGCGTATAGCTGTACCAATAGGAGTAGAGCGCTGTGGGTACCTCAGTCAGGCCATCCTGAGTAGAGCATTGTGGGTAGCTTGGCCAGAGCAATAGGAGTAGAGCACTATGGGTACCTC